TCTTGATTACTGTATCTTTACAGTAAGTCTTGACATTGGATAGTGTCAGTTCTCAAACTTTGTTCTTATTCTTCAATACTGTATTGGTTATTCTAGGTCTTTTTTCTATCCATACAAACTTTATAATTACTTTATCAGTATCCCCAAAATAACGTGCTGGGATTACATTGAATCTATAGATCAACTTGGAAAATCCTGACATGTTGACAGTATTGAGTCTTCTTATCCATGAGCTTGAAATGTATCTTTGCTTATTTAGTTCTTCTTTAATTTTGTTCACATTATTTTTAATATCAGGAATGAGTGCAAGAATGAGTAGGAATTACTAAAGAAAATATCAGAAAAGAACATTTGATGACCTGAATTTATCGAGTCTCTTATCATTAATTAATTAAATCCAAAAGTATGGCAAATTCGATCTGCAGTTTACCCAAACAAACAATTAAAAGCATTCTGTCATTTGACTTACATGTCTCATGAAAATGCTATTAACATGGTCAGGAAAACAGAGCAGATGCTTTCCTGTTTTCCCCAAAGAAGCTGCCATCATGGATTTGAGCCTATTTCCTTTTTATCCCATAAAGTGGAGAATAATATCAAAGTCTGCTTTAAACAATTACGTTTTTCCCAGGTATTTAATTTAGTAAATGAATGCAAAATATTGTTTAAAAAATAAGGAGCTCTCCATCAAATAAATGTCTTTCTCTGGTCATTGAGTGGGGATAAAACTGCATACAGTTTTGAAATGTAAAGTAAAAGCTGGCAATTACATAGTCCAATTCCTTACATTGATTCATGAGGATGGGAGAACCAGGAAATCAATGACAAGGCCAAGAGAATACAAGCTATTTCATGGCTCAGATCAGATGATCAGCCTGGCTTCAAATCCAGCATTTGGGGATTTCTGGATGACTTTACTCTCACCTATACTGGGGAAAAATTTTCAAAATTCCACACAGACATTCTAGAAACTTTATGTTAGAAAAAGGCATTCTAACTTAAGAGTTTAGTAGCAGTTAGAAAGTGCTACCGAAAAAAATATATTCAGAAAAAGATTTTTCTAAGAACAGAGTAATTTCCTCCAAAAGACCACCATTAAAGCCTAGAACTCAGAGATCAGTAAAGGAGTCTGTCTGCAGAAGATTTTATTTCTGCACAGCTAATTTCAATCATGTATCTGGGTTTGTGCTCAATCTTTGCCACAGATAGGAGTGTTCCTCCTCTTTCAGAAGCTGTTTCCATCCTGTTCACTGTTCTCTCTCCAGAGCCTACAGCAATACCAGCCCAGGAGTAGCCAGTTGGTAAATATTGTTACAAATATTTATAAATATTTATTGAGTCAATTAATTTAGAAAGAATTTTACTTCAATTAAAAAATTATCACAGCAAATTTGTTTTAAAAGAATCTTTCAAGATAAGATTTTAGCCTTTACCATTTCCCTAAGTTTTTAAAATAGCATCAGTAGATATTTTTTTTTTACAAAATAACAACGGGTCATATTCAGTGGCCACTTGCTATGCACCAAGCACTGTGTACAGCATTATTCATCTATTTTTACAGTTTTTCTTCACACATCTTAATCAAGCAGGTGTAATTGTTTTCTCCATGTAACTGAGGCATGGAGAAGCTACGTAACATGCCCAAAATGATTCAAAAAGGTACAAACTTAGAGCTCAAATCCTTAGCCAGCCCATTATTGTCAGGAACCACACCAGAGGGCTTTGCTCAAACCTGCATAAATGGAAACTCAGGACTCTCTTGTTTCCTCTGCCAGTTCTAGGTTTGGTTGTTTGCCCTAAATGTATCATTTATGGATGCTCAAAATACGTCTGCAGTTGTGTCTGTAGGAGCGCTGTGACTAATGTTGTATGCAAAGCTGTGTAAACTTTGGATGAGGCAAATTGATTGTAATAGAGAGCTATAATACATGAAGATAGGAAGTGTCAATAAGACCTATATTGCCCTCAAATTGAGAATCTCATTTAACTAACAAAAGCAAATAAATTCAAAGATATAATTGTAACTCCAGATAAGACTCATTCAGGAATTTTAGGACCTGGAAATAGCCCATAATCATAAGTGTTATATTATATGTGTTATTGTACCTAGACAAATTAGAATTTATTCCATGAAAATGACTAAGAAGCACTTTATTCCCTTCCTAAACAGAAAGGATATTTTCACAGAATTTTTAAAATCACATTTCCACTTTTCATAAACATAACCAAAAAAAAGTAGTACACTTAATTTACATGTTTGCGGAAGATGTGTCTTAAACCACTAAATTTCTTCTGTGACTGACTGAATTTAACAACATAGTATATTTTTGTATGCTCACGATGAACATGGTTACTACAGTCCAATTAGCAATTATTCAGCTCATCTTAAATCTATTTTTCAGACAGCTGAAAATTAGTATTTAATTTAAAAATGTTTTGGAATTCTTACCTTCTTTCCCTCACCTTTTTCTCAATGCACTTTAATTCATCAAAATCATTTTTTGTATAGGCTTTTAATATGTGGGTTAGTACATAGAAATGATTTGTGGCTGCAAGCAGAACTTATAATTGCTATATAAGGTAAGAGTTGTCTTGAATATTAATTATTTTTAGGATTTTCATATCTATGATACTAATATTTATTCACTCAAATTAGATTTTATTTTATTTGTGATAACTGTAAGAATGAACAACAGAGCTCTGATAGAATGATTAAGAGATAATATATGACCAACAATTCCACTCCTAAGCATGTGTCCAAGAGATATGAATATATGTATCAAAAAGAATTATTCAAAAATTTTATTGAATGATTTGCTTTATTTATAATAATCCCAAACTGGAAACAACTGAAATATCCACCAATTGGAATAAATAAATAAATTGTAGTACTATATATTTACATGATTGAATATAAAATAGAAAATAAAAATAGGACAACTATCTAATCCACACAGTAATGTGGATTTATCTCAAAAACATTACAATAGTGTGAAAGAAACCAGCTATCAGAGAGAATACATTGTGTGATTCCATTTATATGAAGCGCAATAAAATAAATGATATTAGCAAAGCTAATAAATGATGATAGGATTCAAAATAGTGTTGACTTCTAGAAGAGGAATGTTAATCAACACAGAATACATACAGAGAAACTTTCTGAATTGCTGGAATTTTTCCTATCTTATTCTGTGTGGTGATTACACAACAGCATAAAAATCTAAAAATGTATCAAACTGAATAGTTAGCATTTGTCTATTTACTGTGCATAAATTATACTTCAATAAAAAAATTATCACTCTGAACATTGTTTTAAACACACCTTGTTTTACAGCTATGTCGACGGTTGATGCACCTAGGCCTACTTCATTACTTTAATAGTATCTATCTAAAGAAAAGATGATTTAGGCTCTAATAGAGTTTGGCTTGGCTGATGGGTGTGACGACATAACACTAACTACTGTAACAAATACGCTTTCATATTTCAGTGGCTTACCACAGAAGAAGCTGATTACTCAGTCACTGAAGAGTCCAATGTGAATCTTATCATTCTCCTCTGTATGGTGTTTTAGGGACCCAGGTTCCTTCCAGCTTGTGGTTTACTAGTTCCTGCCCAGGGGCCCCAGAATCTTATACCACCCGTTGGAAGACAAGAAGAGAGAAAGAATGCAATTAGGGAATTTTCTAGGTTTCTAGCTGGTGACATGCATGTTTTATGGGCTATTTCCAGGTCCTAAAATTCCTGAATGAGTCTTATCTGGAGTTACAATTATATCTTTGAATTTATTTGCTTTTGTTAGTTAAATGAGATTCTCAATTTGAGGGCAATATAGGTCTTATTGACACTTCCTATCTTCATGTATTATAGCTCTCTATTACAATCAATTTGCCTCATCCAAAGTTTACACAGCCTTGCATACAACATTAGTCACAGCGCTCCTACAGACACAACTGCAGACGTATTTTGAGCATCCATAAATGATACATTTAGGGCAAACAACCAAACCTAGAACTGGCAGAGAAAAGAAGAGGATGACTCCTTCTCCTGCTTAGAGGTAGCATGATGTGCTGCTTAAGAGTCCATCCCTGTTCGGGTCATTCCTTTGTTTCCAACAATCTGGTCAAATCCGGCCTATTCTTGGTTATTTCAAATGCACCTAGTTCTGTGAAATCTTCCTGATTTTTACCCTCACTTTACACCCACATCTTTAACTTCCTGACTTCAAGTTCCTTAATGTATACTAGTTATCTTTGACACAGAGAAAATTCTAACAGAATTTTACTTCTCTTATTAGGCTCTGGTAACATGAGGGCACAGCAGAGTGGGGACTAGGGTAAGGCAAGTGGATGTAAAATTCAAGGGGATGTCCAAAATCTCAGTAATCAAGAGAAATTATATTTTAATGCAATATTTTAAAATCAAAATTAATGCAACCATTGTCCCTGATGAACAATGTATCAAATTTTTAAATAAAGACTGGTTCGGACCCTGCGCTGGTCTCATTCACTTCAGTCTAATCCCAGCCCTTTTGGAGCCTATGTTTTACTCGTCTTCTAACCCAGTTATTGTTGAATGAATGAATGAGTATATGAATCTCTTGAAATGATTCATTAGCTTAAAATGTACAGATCCTGGCAATGAAGATGGACAGCTATGGTGAAATGTGCTCATGGGTCATGAAAACAGTTTGGTTATGTCTTCTGAAATCTACAGGATTAGGACTGCCCTCAATTAAGTCCCCTTAAAATTCTCCTTCATTGTCCCCACTAGTGTAAACCGGCCCGAGGGCCGTAGTTTGCCCACGGCTGGGTTAGAGCTTCCCTCTATAAGTTCAGTGAGTATTGGTAACCATTTGTCACCATCATGCAGCCTGTGAGACTGCCCTTCAAGGGCCCGTTCAAATGGAATCCTAGCAGTTCATGTTGTTTCAATAACGTCGCATTAAAATGGTCCTCCCCATTGTTCTAAAACATTATTACAATCACAGCCTCATGAATTATTTGAGTCATGCCACATTATTTATTTAATGTTTTAATTTACTCTGTACTTCAGAAGTTTCCAGGCCAAATGAGATCAGAAAGGCAAAGCCGTTTGAACAACGGGAAGCAACAGTGTTTGTTATAATTCATTCTCTGTACCGCATTTCCTACTTAAGAAAGAATTTAGCTCCAAGGTATACTCAAGAAGAGAAAAAAATAAAAAGTTCCAGCAGTCTTTAAGGCCTATCGTGCACCTTTCAGATGGAAGATTGACATCACCCTTATCTACACACACCACCACCACCAGCAGCACCTCCACCTTCTGGCCTTATTACAAAAGTTGTTTACCCACTTTTGGGCCCCTGCCATGACCAGTCAACTGTTGTGGCCTATCAGGGTCAGGCTGTTTTCTTCAGTGGCCAACGTTTTCACTCACAGTTAGCCACCAGGGGGCCCCCTGTTTGGAACAAATGGTGAGACTCCAATAAGCTTCCCTCCAAAGGAACCAAAACATCCCGGGGCAGCCGGGGCGCAAAGCTAGGGAACTTCCCCACAAAGAACAACTCACCAGCCGCAAACCTGCAAGTCCTATGGCGCAGCCTTATTACGAGTAAAGAAGAAAACACGGATGTATCGCCAAGGACGGAGGGGAAATAGGAACCCTGGAGTTTCAAGGGAGAGGTCCCTCCTCTGACCAGAGAGCCATGGGGTCTTCCACTCGCCTGGGGAAGCTCCCTGAAACTCTGTCCATCAGGCGCTTGGAACAGTTTCTAATTTCCTGACAGTGGTAGTTAATGCTGTCTGCAGGGGTGGTGGCTTCTCGCCCCCTTTCCGTGGGATGCTTCCCAGAAGCTAGAATAAAACACACGCCACTGTCTGGCAATCCAGAAAAGTCTCCAAACAAAATGATCTATACATTGTTCAAGCAGTTGAGGTTTCATACAAATCGTCCTAGCTCTCTCACATTTATTATACACATCTATATTGACTCATGAAGTCGGAATTATTTTAATATTACCTACAAGAAAATAATTATACCCTGTCGTCAAAATAGTTTTGTTGCAACTGTGTAGCTTCTGAACCACTACCTTTTCGCTTTGGGGGTACTCAGTATTTTTACTGCTTCATTTTCTCCCAATCTGAATCCTTGGCCTTCAGGACTGGGGGTGAGGGTGGGGGGGCACCTCAGAAATTCCTATTTGCCTGGG